GATTACTGTAATGCAGGTTTTACCGGACCCGGGAACTGTTTCCATTCATATGGAGAGTCAGTTTAATTTTTAAGGGTGTTGATTATCAGTCAAGAAAACAGATTACTTGCCGATCCATCGTCCACAATAAATATATACTTAAAACCACTGCGATAACTCGACAGTTCGCCGCTGGATGGTTGCTTCTCAAGCTTTCATATGATCTCAACTGTAAATTCATTAGCGGACTAAACGGATCAGTTTGAAGCCAACTTTTAATCTTTGATCTCTAACCCTTGCTTTACTCTTTCCTAGATCTCTTTCGTATTTCACCCTTCAATGCTTCTTTGCAAACGAGCGTAAAGTTAAAGCATCGGATCATTGCGGAGTCAAGACACTGGCCGTGGCTGGCCGCACAGGAAGTTTTGCGACACTGAACCAAAAAAAACGCTAGTCTCTAAACCCAAATAAACTCGCACACACGGAAAGCCTATCAGATTGAAGACTAATTGCCAAAAATAACATGCATGTCCTCAAGGACTACTTCAGCTAATGCGGGTTGTCTTAATTTCTCTTCTCGGCTGTAATCAAAGTTGCTAAACTGGATCTGTCATCATCTAGCGAATTCAAATTAAAGCAAGTGTGTACACGTGACTAGGATCAAGCCAACAAAGAACACAGGGCATAAAAAGCAAACAAAAGAGAAAGAGGAGATTACTTACAGGGTTTCTTCAACTTGCGTTTTATATTATGACTTCAAATCAGCTATGAATTCAGGAAGAAAATTTTTCATGCCCCATTGTTATGAGCCGAGAACAATTTGAAACACAGCAATAAATTGAAATATCTCTATTTGAAAGCCAACAATTTGTACGATTTGCGCGTGATCATCTTTTTGGTTGGTTCCCTGTTTTAAATACTATGCTTGATTTTGGATTCAAACCTGTTAACAGTGATGTATTTATAGAGTGTTGAATGATGCGTTTCCTACCTCGAAATGTTGGTAACGTCATACTTGGTGAAACTAAGGCCTGACGCCATTTCAACATGGCCGCTTCCGCCACTGAACAGGCCACCGAATCCGTTTTCCACCAGTTGTGACGTCATTAATAAAACCTGCTTAAAGTGGCGGGTCCTGCTGCTTTAGTTTCTTAGTAAGCGCGGGAATCTCTTAGAACAATCGAAAGTGAATATGGACACATTTGGTGCAAACTTATGAAGAAAACACTAAAATCAAAGGACCAGTTATTCAAATGGAGTTTAGCTAGTGTTTATCAAAACTGCTTTCAGAGCCATTTTCACTTTGCCCAACTCTTTTATCTTAACACCATTTATCGTGAACAGTTTCATGATAACATATGGCGTAGACTAGTAAAGTATTTATCTTCCTAAAAAAACCATTAAGGAAGATAGCTGGAGGTCCAAAGATTTGCTAAACTGCTGCCTAAGTTAGACTTCGTTTAAATAATCGACCCAAAGGTTCGCATTTACCAAGGATCAATATATCTTCAAACTATGCGCTGCTTAACCCATGTCTCTAAAAATTTGCACTGCAAAATTTTTTTCTAGCCAAAGGCTAAGGTAACTTGGGGCTGTAAGTATTTCAGAGTAGTTTTTTTAACAGTCTGCGGATTACAAGTATTTCCATCAGAAAAGAAACGGAGATCTATACAAAAAAGTCGATATTTTTAGGTCGGTTTCAAACCAGCTCAAAAGGAAGAGAAAATTCTCTAGTAAGCCACGGGAAATAAACAGTCTGAAGTTCGATGGCATGTACATAACGTCACTAGCTGTATCCATGGCAACGTTGCAGCTTCTTACACGAGGGAGTCAATCTCAAGTGGAAGATGCTTGTGGTATTAAGTTGAAAATCTACCGGGGTGTTTCCCTTCGGATTATGGAAATTTTGTCAAATGGGACAACAGAATATGTCTTGAGTAAGTAAAACTTCTGCATTTTGTGTTAATTCAAATGGGAACGGAATTGATAAGTAAAAACCATACGTGGTATTGGTAACATACGCTATGTCAAAGTGTTTGTCGGAAAGGCGGTGCATAGGAAGAAAATCTCTTAAGGCCTTTTGCTTCTTTGACTTCTAATATTAACTTTTTTATGTGTGTCAGTTAAATGCTCATTTACTTCAGAAATCTGACACTTTTAGTGATAAAAAATGATATGCAGCATCAAAGCATAAAATGTATCTCAGAGGGCCGATTATGCTGCCTGTCAGTAAAGCCATCTTTTTTATTTTTCTTTCTCTTTTACGTTTCGGGGCTGATATAAGCACCTTGTATATCCAGAACTAAAATAGAGCAACTATTTATTTCCAAAGTGCATTTTGTACGCGCCGAGCTGTGTAAAATATCGTATACTTTCTCTTTTATCAGACAGAGATGTGTACGCCCTGTACGTTAGGGGTAAAATTTCTTTACCGAGGGTGTGCACTCAAAGGTTTCGATTTCACGTGAGACCAAGGAGTTCACTCTAACTTTAAGCCGAAAGAACAGGTGTAAAACAAATCAATTAATGGTGATTTTCAAACAAGCGTTTCTGTCCAAGTTTAAAATATGAAAGATGCAATAAAAACTGATCGAATACATAGAGTTTTGTCTGCCATTCTTGCGTGACGTCCTTATTAAACGACAGGTGGAAAGACAGGTGGCAATTACAGAAGTTACTGCTTTGAAGAATAATCGTGTCGAGTTGCCTTTTGCC